CTCGCAGCCGGCACCTCGATACACGCATCAAACTGACGATTTTTGAATATCGTAATCGTACCGCCGCTAGAGTACGCCGGAGAAGTATGGGAAGGAAATAAGAAGGTAGTGAAAGAACTCGAGGCGGCGCAGATGAAAGCAGCGAAAACCATCCTAGGATGCTCCAGGCGCACAAGTAATGCAGCCGTGAGGGCAGAATTGGGGATCCAATCCCTACGGTCGGGAAGAGACGCGAGGAAGCTGACATGACAATATCGCATGTGCGGGATGGGTGAGGAGAGGTTGCCGAGAATTTTATGGGCAGTGAAGTGGGCAAAAAAACGCGGGGAACACAACCCACGGAATGGGTCAAGGTTGTAGAGGACGTATGGAAGGGGCTCGACATCGACGAAGATGAAACGCTGGAAACGGAGGGTCTACAGGGGTTCAAGGAGAAGATATCTGTTGCTTGTGCCGAGAGAGAAGAACAGAATCTGAGGAAAGAATCCAAGGATAAGGAGNGAAGGGGCTCGACATCGACGAAGATGAAACGCTGCAAACGGAGGGTCTACAGGGGTTCAAGGAGAAGATATCTGTTGCTTGTGCCGAGAGAGAACATAATCTAAAGAAAAAAAACCAAGGATAAGGAGGGTCTAAAGGTGCACGGAATGTTGAAGGAAGGAATAGGGTTCAAGGATTACCTACATGGACCAATGGATGCAGGAACAAAGCTTAAGGTCAAATTCAGGACCGGGGACATAGGACTTCGAGAACGTCGACGAAGAAATAGGACGGAGACCGTATTCATGTAGTCGCGGAATGTTCGTGGTACAAGAAGGAGAGGGAAGTGTACGTGACTGAGCTGGGAAAAATACAGGGAGATGTTTGAGGCATGGAATAGAGGAAAGGACGGTAGCTGTACTGGGGTATAGGAGGTGGGTTGAAAAAGCGGGAAGGGATATCGTTAGGATAGACAGCCCGGGGGTAGTCATTTTTGAGCCACCTTTGGCAAAGTGGAAAGGAAAGATTGGCCATCGGTGATCGGTCCTGTGGGAACAATGCTCCGNAATAGGACGGAGACCGTATTCATGTAGTCGCGGAATGTTCGTGGTACAAGAAGGAGAGGGAAGTGTACGTGACT